TTAATAGCCAGGAAGATATAGGGGTTTCCCTGGTGCCTCAGATGGTAAAGAATCTGCCTGCAATGCAGGAGACACAGGTTCAATCCTTGGATTGGGAAGATCCCTTGGAGAAGGGAATGGCTACTCACGTCAGTATTCTTCTCTGGAGAATCCCATGGACAGAGAAGGCTGGCAGGCTATAGTCCATGGGGTCTCAGAGAGTTGAATAGGACTGAGTGACTAATACATATACACTTCTCACCTCTCAACTCTAGGCTCAAGAAACTTTAAAAGAATAGCTCTTTAAACAAAAAGATTGGCTCTCTAATGGTAGTGTTTTAGACATTTGCCACACAGAGATATTTTAGGCACCCTCTATAGATAGATATTTTGGAATGAGGCAACATCTCTATATTCCTCAAATTATATTCTTAAGACAATTGCTGACAATATCACTCTATTCATGAAACAGCTGTCCTTCATGTTAACCATTGTTTTAAAAATTGTGGTGTCACTGCATTTTTCATTGACAAAGAATTTTCAAAGAGTTATGTTTTTGTCTAGCAATTTTGCAATAAACATATTCCAAAAACTTATTTACTTTTAATCAAGAGTCATACCTTGAGTTAGAAATCAGAACTCCCAGATGCCAAAGAGGTCTACTTTGCCAGTTTTCTTAGCTAAATGTTATCAGACAAGATATTTGATATAAAAAAAAGATATTTGATTTCTTGAATTCTTTGTTTACTTATTTTTTTAAAAAAATGAGGCTAAAGAAGAACTCTTTTCTGACTCTTGGGTTCATTTTTGGAGTTAAATAAGATGTGCTTTGAAGACCACAGTGGAATGGCCATGCTGAAATAAATCTCTGTAAATAATAGCACACTTGGGAATATCTGAAGACACATCCAAAACTGAAGGTAAAGATGACCACAGAGACCAGGATTGCAGACAGGTTTGAAGAACTTATGAAGAATAAGCTGCAAGAGCAGGAGGGCAGACATTCAGATTTTCTAAAGCCAGTTTTTCATTTATTAGCATAAGTTAAAACACAGTCAACAGCAGCAGTCACCTACAAATTGGGAATTTTGAAAATGAAATATGACAATAAATGGATGAAAAAATGAAGCAAGACACAAGAAGTATTGGAAGAAGTTGGATGGGGTCAAAGAAAGGAGTGAGGTTTTCTCTTTTGCTTTTTATAACAACTAAGGAAGTGCAAACTGTATTCATTTCACATGTTAGCAAAGTAATGCTAAAAATTTTCACATGCTAACAAAGTAATGCTCAAAATTCTCCAAGCTAGGCTTCAACAGTATGTGAATCCGAGAACTTCCAGATGTTCAAGCTGGATTTAGAAAAGGTAGAGGAACCAGAGATCAAATTGCCAACATCCGCTGGAACATCATAAAAGCAAGAGAGTTTCAGAAAAACATGTACTTTTGCTTTATTGACTATGCCAAAGCCTTTGACTGTGTGGATCACAATAAACTGTGGAAAATTCTTAAAGAGATGGGAATACCAGACCACCTGACCTGCCTCTTGAGAAACCTGTATGCAGGTCAGGAAGCAACAGTTAGAACTGGACATGGAACAACAGACTGGTTCCAAATAGGAAAAGGAGTACGTCAAGGCTGTATATTGTCACCCTGCTTATTTAACTTATATGCAGAGTACATCATGAGAAACGCTGGGCTGGAAGAAGCACAAGCTGGAATCAAGATTGCCAGGAGAAATATCAATAACCTCAGATATGCAGATGACACCATCCTTATGGCAGAAAGTGAAGAGGAACTAAAGAGCCTCTTGATGAAAGGGAAAGAAGAGAGTGAAAAGATGGCTTACAACTCAACATTAAAAAAAGTAAGATCATGGCATCTGGTCCCATCACTTCATGGCAAATAGACAGGAAAGCAATGGAAACAGTGACAGATTTCATTTTCTTGGGCTCCAGAATCACTGCAGATGGTGTCTGCAGCCATAAAATTAAGACACTTGCTCCTTGGAAGAAAAGCTTTGAAAAACCTAGATGGCATATTAAAAAGCAGACGTTACTTTTCCTACAAAGGTCCATCTAGTCAAAGCTATGGCTTTTCCATTAGTCATGTTTGGATGTGAGAGTTGGACTATAAAAAAAGCTGAGTGCCAAAGAATTGATGCTTTTGTCCTGTGGTGTTGGAGAAGACTCTTGAGAGTCCCTTGGACTGCAAGGAGATCAAACCAGTCAATCCCGAAGGAAATCAGTCCTGAATATTCATTGGAAGGACTGATGCTGAAGCTCAAACTCCAATACTTCGGCCTCCTGATGTGAAGAACTGACTCACTGAAAAGACCCTGATGCTGGGAAAGATTGAAGGCAGGAAGAGAAGGGAACAACAGAGGGTGAGATGGTTAGATGGCATCGCTGACTCAATGGACGGGAGTTTGAGCAAGCTCCAGGAGTTGGTGATGGACAGGGAAGCCTGGCGTTCATGGGGTCACAAAGAGTTTGACACAACTGAAGCAACTCAGCATTCATGGAAAAGCAGAAGTGGGGGAGAGTGTAGAGAGAGGGTAAGAAACTTGACTAGGGGACTTCCCTGGTGGCCTGCTGGTTAAGACGCCACCTTCCAATGCAGAGTGTGTGGGTTCAATCCCTGGTCACACATGCCTCACAGCCAAAACACCAGAACATAAATAACAGAAACAATATTGTAACAAATTCAGTAAGAATTCAAAAAGGAAAGAAACCTAGACTAAGTGTTCTAAGTACATCACAGGTGTAATCTTATCTTACTGTTACTGCAGCCTTCTGGGGTATATATTATTATTTCCATTTTACAGATGCATGCCCAGGTTCTTGCTATATCTATTGATAATAACTGTGGCTAACCTTGGTTACATGCTTATGTGCCAGCCACTTTACAGATTACCTCTTAATCCTTATAAGAACATCGGAATTAGATATTATTATTACTTCCATTTTCCAGATGAGAAAATCAAGGCAAGGAGAAGTCCTGTAACTTGCCCAAGGGCACACAGCTAGGCAATGGTGGGAGCCAGGATGCAAAACCAGGCAGTCTGTTTACAGAGTCCATAATTGTAATCACCATGGGTAACAGCCTCTAATAAGCCACTCAGAGTTAAGAGAAAAATAGAGGGAAGATACACTTACAAAGATGGAGAAATGATTATTTAAAAGGAAAGAAAGAAGGATAGCAATGAGGAGGGAAAACATCATCCCGAAAGGGAATTTGAATGTTTAATTTTTAGAGATCAGAGAGGCTTTATTGATGATTTTAGTAATAATGAAGATGGCAGTAACAAAGTGAACATTTATTGGAAGGCTTTCTATGTGCCTTTATATCTACTTTCTCATTGAATTTTCAGAATAATTCTTTTGTCTGTATTGAAATTGCAGGACCTAAGTACAGAGTAGCAGCCCAATAAATATGACTTTTGTGGTTTCACTTTTAGGAAACTCTAGGTCATAGGGCTAAATTCTAGGAAGCTCAGCTTCTATGACGCCAGTGTTTTATTACCGCCCAGCATTTATTTGTCTGAAATCATCCTGTTTATTTCTTTGCTGTTTATTATCTCTTCTCTCACTGTTAGCATGTAAACTCGGGGCGAGCAGAGCCTCACTCATGCTGTTTCAGTACTTGCAGCATCCAGAACAATGCCTTGCAGTTAGAAGGCGGTTGACACACACTTGCCGTGTGAATGAAGAGAACCCAGAGCCGAGCTTTTGGGACAACTCTCCTTCCACATCAGCACAGTGGACTGCAGAGCAGGCATGTCCTCTGCTCAGGTGATTGCAAGCATCTTCCTCTCTGTGCCCATTTTCAATGAGCATCCACACACTTTCTCTGTCACTCACCTGTCACTCACTCAACTGTTCATTTCCCCAGGTTTAGTTTCAGAGCAAAGCAAGAAAAGAAGCTGCTTGTTTGTTCTGTTTTCAGTGCATAAACAGAGATCCTCACAAAGGTTATCAAACCATCTATGCCTGAAAATGACTCTTTCACCACACACCCGTTAGGACGACAACTACTACAAAAGAACAAGCAAACAAACACACACGTTGGAATCCCTGTATACTGTTGATGGGAATGTAAATGGTGCAGCTGCTATGGAAACCAGTGTGGCATTCCTTGGAAAATTATGACCATATGCTCTAGCCATCTCATTTCTGAGTATATACCCTAAAGAATCTCAAGCAGCTATTTGTACACCCATGTTCATAGCAGCATTACTCACAGCAGCCAGAAGGTGGCAGCAACTTAAGAGTCCGTCAACAAATAGCTGGGTAAACAAAATCTGGTATATACATACAGTGGAATATTATTCAGCCTTAAAAAGGAAATTATGACACATGCTACAATATGGATGAATCTTGGCGACACCACGCTAAGTGAAATAAGTTGCTAACAAACACACAAATACTGTATGATTCCACTTATATGAGGCCCCTAGAATAGTCAAATTCAAAGAGTCAGATGGTGAATGGTAGTTGCCAAGAAAATGGGTACAGAGCTTTGCAAGATGAAAAGAGTTTGGAGATTGGTTGCACAACAATATGAATATACCTAACACCCTGAACTGTACTATTAAAAATGGTTAAGATGGTAAATTTTGTCATGTGCATTTTTCACACTTAAAAAAGGATGAGTGGAGAAAAAGGATGACTTTTGGTAGTATGGCGTATGCCTCATTCTAAAGGAGCAAGATGCTAAAGTGAAGGACTCAGTGAATTCAAATGAAAATGCAAAGCCCCTGTGAAGGAACAGAGCTGGAAGTCTAAGAAGAGTTACCACTCTAAGCAACCTGCATCAGAGACAAGGAGGGTTAAGCGTAAGCTCTTGGTTTTGGGTTCCTGAGGGTCAGGGTTGCAAATAACACTTTCTTTGATGACTTTTTAGTATAATGTACATTCTTAAGCATTTTACACAAATCTTTATAGAGTCAGGCGTGTGATTAAATCAGGTTGTGATGATGCTGCTGCTGTGAAGTGTCTCTCATTGCATCCTGCCAACACTCACCTGTCCACACGCAGCTGGCAGACGATGCTCAGCGCGTCCACCACGCCTTCTTCTCTCAACTGCCGACAGCCAATGGATGTAGCAATAAAACACCCCGTCCTGCCGATCCCTGCACTGCAAAGGACAGACAGTGAATTAAAAGGTGCAGGGAAAATAGCAGAGATAAAATATATTCTTTTAACATTGAAAACAATCATTAGGATCAACAATAATAATTATGATAACAGCAGCTGCTCTCATGTACTGAGTGTACAAACCTGGCCCTCTGCTCAGCGCTGCAACAGCATCCTTCCTTTTAGGTCTAAGAAGTAGAATGAATGGGATGGAGGCAGGTGGTGGGTGGAGAGAATAGTGAAAAAGGTAGCAGCTGTTCTACAAAGAAGAATTAGGGCCTGAAATTCAGTAAGGTATGGGCAGTAGCGAGGGGAAAGATCTACATACATCACAGAAGTGAGCACAGAGGAGTGGAGCTGAACAGTGAGAAAAGCAAAAAGTCAAAGGTGACTCGCCCGGAGGACTGGAAGAAGGGCAGCGTCATTGAGATGCAGTGGGAGGTCTGGAATGAGGTCTGATTTGAGGAAGACAGTGGGGGCTTTGGTCCTGGATATAAAAATGTGGCTGGGGCTTCCCTGGTGCCTCAGATGGTAAAGAATCTGCCTGCAATGCGGGAGACCCAGGTTCGATCCCTGGGTCAGGAAGATACCCTGGAGAAGAGAATGGCAACCCACGCCAGTATTCTTGCCTGGCGAATTCCACAGAGGCGGCTGGCGAGCTATAGTCCATGGGGTCGCAAAGAGTTGGAAAAGACTGAGCGACTAGCACATACACATACTGATGTGAAAGATGTTAGTGAGTAGCTGAAGATTCAGTTCAGTTTAGGAGAGAGGATGTGGCTAAAGGCATATATTTCCAAGTCTTTTTTTGTTTTTTAAATCAAGGTAACAGCTGAACAGAAATATTACCTGTCATGGAAGGTTTACTCATGAATCTCTTTAGATGGCAAATTACCAACTTTACAAACTTTCTCTGTCTGTCTCTTTCTCTCTTTCAGCAATTTCAACCATCTTTATGTAAATTTCTCCCAAATCTACAGTTAAGTTCCCCAAGTTCCTCCTAAACTCTAGATTAGCATTCCACCTCCTAGCTGGCACTTCTGCTGTTGCTATTTTACACTTGCTGCAGTTCAGTGTCTCTAAATTCAATGTATCTAAAACAGAATTAATTCTCTTTTTCCTCAATGGCATTACCAAGCAGCCACGAGTTTTCCAGCCTAGAAATCTTGGAGCCCTCTTCAACGTCTCCCCCTCTCTCACTTCCCACATCCAGTCTGTTACCAATTCTTATGTTTTCCACCTCCACTGAGCTTTTGGGATCCATGCTTCTCTTTCTATAAACTGTGCTCACGTTTTTGAAATCTTACTTCATGATTAACGATGATCTCATCATGGTTTCCAAGTCTCAAGACTCTTCCTGGGCTAATTCATGATATACACAGTTGCTAGGTTCATCTTTCTGAAATAGGAACCTGATCATATTACTTGATACTCAAAAACCATAGGGGCCTCCCAGGTGCCTCAGTGGTAAAGAATCCACCTGCCAATGCAGGTGATGCAGGAGACACAGTTTCGGTCCCTGGGTCAGGAAGATCCTCTGGAGCAGGAAATGGCAATCTACTCCATTATTCTTTCCTGGAAAATTCCATGGACAGTGCAGTCTGGAGGGCTATAGCCCAAAGGGTCACAATGAGTTGGACATGACTGAACATGCCTAAGCACCAGCAAAAACTGCAGATGGTCGCAGTACAATGTCTAAGCACGCTTCCATGGTATTCACGCCTTACATAATACGACTGGATGAACTTTCAAGCTTTTTGTCTTTGTGCTGTTGACTTTGTATCCTTTGTGTCATTGTTTTCATTTGAATCTTTGCAAAAGAAACCTTTTCTTTTTGAATTTTCCTTTTTGAGTTAATGATATTTCTCCAGTCAGAAATGCCCACCCTACCACCTTTTAAAACCACAAACATTGGTCCTTTTTTCAAGATCCTATTCAGCATTAGTCCAACTTTTAGAGACTTTCTTCAAATCTCATAGTTTGAGTGAATAGCTCCCCTTTCAGCACTCAAATATGGGCTTCCCTGATGACTCAGTGATAAAGAATCCTCCTGCCAATGCAGGAGACATGGGTTTGATTCCTGGGTTGGGGAGATGGCCTGGAGAAGGATATGGCAACCCACTCAAGTGTTCTTGCCTGGGAAATCTCATTGCAGGGGACCCTGGTGGGCTACAGTCCATGGGGTCACAAAGAGTTGGACATAACTTAGCGAATGAACAACAACAACAGCAGCAGTCAAATAGCAATTATTTCTCAGACTTGGCACTTGTTTCCTGTTGAATATGAGTGCAGAGGAATTCAGAGGAGGAATGCATCCCCTTTAGTGTAAGTGTCTATAGAGAGTTTGGGTCAATAAAAAGATAGTACTTGAACTGTACCTTGTGAATGGCACGCATTTTGGTTATCACCAATGTGAGAGAATGTTCCATGGGTGAGACTGGTATAGGGAAAAATTTGCAGCAGAACAGAAAATAAGATGTGTGACAATGAGTAGACTAGTTTGGCTAGAAAGAGAAAGTTATGTTAGAGGAATAGTGGGAAAGAAGGCTGGGAAGGTACAGTGGAATCTATAAAGGATTATGGAAAGCTAAGAACTTTGGACTTCATCCTCTAAAAGAATGGTACTCTTTGTTTTTTTTTGTTGTTTTTTTTTTTTGAGAATATGTTGAAAGCAATGAGTTTTCACTCCCCAGAAAATTCACTTAACTTAATGTACTCAAATCTGTTCAAGTCATTTTAAGTTCACTGGCCCCTGTAGCTAACCCACAAATCCAAGATTAAGGAATTTTGCTCTAGGCAATGGGAAGCCTGTGTGAAGCTTTGAGCAGAGACTCCATGTGATGAAAGAGGGTTTTAGGCACATCATCCAAGAGAAGTGCACAGAATAGACTGTGGTGGGGGTGGAGCATGGGGAAGTGGGGTGTGTATGTGCAATTAGCCGACTTCTAAAATACATGGATGAGGTCATAAGGGCCTGAACTTGGGTGGTTGGGCAGGAAGTGATGATTATGGGAGAAGCTTTGAAGGGAAAGCCAATCTGGTGACTGATTAGATACCGAGGCTGGAATTGAGAAAAGGGCCAAAGATAACTGTCAACATTTGATGTTGAGTGGCTGGAAAAAAGACGGTCTCATTCTTAGAAATAGCGATCAGAAGGGGAGCTGGTTTTAGAGGGGAAATGGTTAGTTCATTTTAGATATCCTGACTGTTTTATGATTTTGGGTGGGGGACGGTTTCAGCTCTAGAGTATGGCCAGTTAGATATTTGTCTTCAGACCCAAGTTAAGTTTAGGATAAGGCCTAATGTTAGAAACTAGATAGTGACACATTGGGCAAGTAGACACACAGTAAATTTTACTCTTAATTAAACCACAAAGGTTCAAAACAAGGCTAAAATCATAATTTAAATTAATACACTTTGGTTATTAAAAATATCACCAAAATCTATCTTATAAGACTTAAGGGGATCAATAAAGTAATGCAAATTGTTTTGAGAAAGCATGGAGAATAAATGACCAGTTATATAGATAACTTTAACATTTGCACTTTGCTTTGGGCACACTAGCAGGAAAACAGGGGGAAGAGGTATAAGTTAAAGGATAAGACCTGCCGTTGAACATCGGCCTGGCCTCTTGTCAGCCCAGCCTCCAGGACCGCATGTTCCGCTACCAGCACTTTGTTTTCCTCATGGTGAGTTACCACTTGCCATTCACCATTTCACAAATTTATTTCCATCTGTTTTTCATGAGGTAACTTTTAGAACAGTTGACTGGTTTTCACCAAATTTGGCATAATAATAAAAAATGTTATCAAGATACAATCCTAGTAAAGTTCAGGGGCATCTCAAAACAAGAAAAAAAAGTTGATAATTAAAAAAATCATATGAGAATTAAAAAATCAGTCTCCTCATGAGACTGATGAGACTAAATGAATCCACCTACATTTCAAGGTAGAGGACTGAATGAATAAGAGCTCCTGCTCCCTGAGTGCTTCATTAGGGAAATTTTCTCCACTGTATGACTGCTAAAAATACGCTAGTAAAGGCACTTCAATTCTGACAAGTATCACTGCGGTCAAGAATCAAGGGGGAGGCCCATTAGTTTCAATATCTGTTCAATTTACCAGCAAAGTCAGAACCAGGGAGTCAAACCCAGCTCCCACCTGCTGCATGACTTTACAAAGAATAGACGGTTGCTGAGGCAAAAGGTCAGCTCACCCCTTACCTGCAGTGGACCACCACAGGCCCTCGGCCCGCGGAGGCCAGCCTGTCTTCTTCCACGTCCAGCATGAGCTGCAGAAGGGGCTGGGCACTGTCTGGAGTCTTGTGATCGGGCCATGAGGTGTACCAGTAATGTTTCACACGTTGGGTGTGACTTCCTTGCTGAAAATAGAAACAGCCACCAAACGCTTCATTTACTTGTGGAACAAAGAGTCTTCCAAAGCACAATACTAAACGCTTTCTATCACTGCCATCTTGCTTGTTCCTCACTTCCAGGTGGTAATAAAATCTAGGAGACTTTTGAAGAATATTCTTTCAACCTGAGAAAAATTTACTGTAAATATGCTGATGTCAAAATCTGACAGTCTTGCTTCAATTAAATGAGAAATATATATATATATGATATATATTTAATATAGAAAACATACATATGTTTGTCATTTATGATCATGAACATAATGGTAGATGAATAAATGGCCAAGAAAGAATTGGGATATAGTGTGTTTCCTGTTCTTTGAATGCTCCTGACAGGTTATTATAAACATAGTGACCAGTATAAGAACGCTTAATTTTATACTCAGTCACTCTAATGCCTCTACACTCACCCTAAATACCAGTGTTTAACAGCAGTGAGGAATCCCTGTAGGAAAGGAGTCACAAATGAGGGTCCATGCAGTCATCTCAAAACCAAGCTGGGGCCCGGCATAGACTAGACACTAGAGAATACATGTTGAAGAACAGATTTCTCCAAGTGCCTTCCTATCGTGAATTTCCCACCAAAACCCATCAGTGCAGCTCTGTCTCTCTTTTTCTTTGTGATGATTCTGTCCCAGCAGTGGGGTTCTAGATAGAACTGGAATCTTTGGGATGATTGCTCTCTAGAAGTAAAAACAATACCAACAATACCATGGCAACATTTACCTGCTGCATGACTTTACAAAGAATAGACGGTTGCTGAGGCAAAAGGTCAGCTCACCCCTTACCTGCAGTGGACCACCACAGGCCCTCGGCCCGCGGAGGCCAGCCTGTCTTCTTCCACGTCCAGCATGAGCTGCAGAAGGGGCTGGGCACTGTCTGGAGTCTTGTGATCGGGCCATGAGGTGTACCAGTAATGTTTCACACGTTGGGTGTGACTTCCTTGCTGAAAATAGAAACAGCCACCAAACGCTTCATTTACTTGTGGAACAAAGAGTCTTCCAAAGCACAATACTAAACGCTTTCTATCACTGCCATCTTGCTTGTTCCTCACTTCCAGGTGGTAATAAAATCTAGGAGACTTTTGAAGAATATTCTTTCAACCTGAGAAAAATTTACTGTAAATATGCTGATGTCAAAATCTGACAGTCTTGCTTCAATTAAATGAGAAATATATATATATATGATATATATTTAATATAGAAAACATACATATGTTTGTCATTTATGATCATGAACATAATGGTAGATGAATAAATGGCCAAGAAAGAATTGGGATATAGTGTGTTTCCTGTTCTTTGAATGCTCCTGACAGGTTATTATAAACATAGTGACCAGTATAAGAATGCTTAATTTTATACTCAGTCACTCTAATGCCTCTACACTCACCCTAAATACCAGTGTTTAACAGCAGTGAGGAATCCCTGTAGGAAAGGAGTCACAAATGAGGGTCCATGCAGTCATCTCAAAACCAAGCTGGGGCCCGGCATAGACTAGACACTAGAGAATACATGTTGAAGAACAGATTTCTCCAAGTGCCTTCCTATCGTGAATTTCCCACCAAAACCCATCAGTGCAGCTCTGTCTCTCTTTTTCTTTGTGATGATTCTGTCCCAGCAGTGGGGTTCTAGATAGAACTGGAATCTTTGGGATGATTGCTCTCTAGAAGTAAAAACAATACCAACAATACCATGGCAACATTTCTCAGCATTTGCTGTCCAAAATTTAAATAAGATAAATTTTCTATGACATAATCTGGTCTGGGAAAGTCCCTATAAATGACTGTAACTCCAAGTTTTGGAAGATCTCTACAACACTTCAGGCTTTTCTTGCCTCCCACAACCACCCACGAGTACAGATTTTCCCTTTCACAGTTTCCAGGCCTTACTTAAATCTGCTGAGACAAAGTGACATTAAAAAAAGAAATCATGATAACATCTCCAGCACAAGCCTTTAGTCCTTTAGTTAAAGGTGTTCAAAAGGTTAAATCAGAGGAGTTATATGTATGCAGATTAAAAGACCATAGTACCCTACTAAGTGGATTTCTTTAATGTCTACTTAATTATTCCAGAATGATAGTAGCTGACAACAAAATACATAAGAGAGTGATTATAATGTCCCCTTGATCTTGACATTATTTAACTTGTTTAAATTGAATCTTCAGTTCTGAGGACAAAAAAGTTCAAAATAAAAATGCAGTCCTCTAACACCTTCCACTTTGTAGACTGCTACAGCTCCACATTCTTACCTTTAAGACAAGGTTTCGAACAGTATAGTTATCACATTCATTTACACTGATAACCAGAACCTCGACTTTTCCATATATTCCTCTCTTTTCTGGCCAATAAAGCACACATTTCTGGAGGAGGGGAAAGAAGAACACAGCAAATATTAATGGTTTTCATTGGCCTTGAAGCATTTTTCATTCAAGCATCTTAAAAGTTTCTATTTAGTTAAATAAAATAAATCAAGTATCAATTTTAAACATTCTGTAAATGAGCTAAAACCACCAAACTATACATTTTAAATGGGTAAACTTTATAGTATATATATATGCATGTGGTGCTCAGTTGTGTTCAGCTCTTTGCAGCCCCATGTACTGTAACCCACCAGACTCCTCTGTCCATGGGATTTTCCAGGCAAGAATACTGAAGTGGGTTGCCATTTCCTCCTCCAGGGGATCTTCCCGACCCAGGGATAGAACCCACATTTCTTCTGTCTCCTTCATTGGCAGGAAGGTTTGTTTGTTCACCACTAGTGCCACCTGGGAAGCCCATAGTATGTATAGTATAAATTACACGTCAATCAAGTTTTTTCTTTTTAAACCAACACTATTGCTGTTAATCCCATACAAAAAATAATTAAGGCAAAATTTCTCAAATCCCCAAGAGAAATTAAGGGCTAATTCAGAACTGAATTAAGAATTAGGAAACTAAGATCCAAATATTAGAGTTTATCATGCGATGAACAAGGTGGAAAAAAAATGTTCTCCCACTATGATTGAGGCAAGTCACATTTCCTTGGGGCTTCCCTGGTGCTGGCTCAGATGGTAAAGAATCTGCCTGCGGTACAGAAGACAAGGGCTCAGTCCCTGGATTGAGAAGATCCCCTGAAGAAGGGAATGGCTACCCACTCCAGTATTCTTACCCAGAGAATTCCATGGACAGAGGAGCCTGGCGGGCTACAGTCCATGGGGTCGCAACGAGTGGGACACAGCTGAGTGACCAACACTTTCACATTTTCACACATTTCCTGCTTCATCAAACTAATGTCTCTAGTAAGAGTATCTGTAATGTGTTAGATGCCACAGAATGCAGTCTCCCCTGTATGTAAAGTAGACCTAATGGCCATTAATATATCTGTGGTATTGTATTTTCCGGGGCCAATTTTCTTTTCACCTATGGGATCCTTTGAAATAAATGTGTAGCAAAATTATTTTAAAAATTTTTATGAAGGATCCTCTTTGAAGGGTTTAATAGCAGTAATAACAATTATATTGCAAACAAGAAAACATAATATGATGGATAAGGTGCAAGCTTTGGAGTCAAAGAGCCTGGGACCAACTTTTGGTGCTACCATTTACCTGTGAGCCCATAAACAGGAAACATAAGCTCTCTCTGGCCTCAGTTTCCTCAAGATTTAATACATGGAAAGCACTTAGGACAAAGCCAGGAATACAGTAAGCATTCAAAACTTGATATTATTATTATTGTTATTGTATTTTACAACTACTGGATTATGGAATGGGTTTTTGATCTACAGTGATTCGATCATTACTTAAATATGCATTAGATCATGCATCAAATATATTATTTTTATGACATCATCACATTATTTAAAAAACTACAAAATGAGTTTCAAACATACGTATAAACTCATATTATTTATTCTTTTGCCTTTTAAACAACCACAAAAGAACTATTACTTCTTTACCACATATTTTAATGTCTAAGAATAAAGATGTGAAAGTTAATGCTTTATCTTCAGTGCCCAGGGAAGTAATTTAATTTTAGAAATATTGTTTAAATAGAATTCATCTTTTTCTTTCAAACACACATGGATATTGATAAAGAAATTCTTTCACTTATTGCCTTCGGTTAGGGACCTTTCAGTCCTCAGGACACTTGTTTCTTTACATCTATGTCAAAGACATATGACCACACTTAAAAATAGTTAAGATTTAAAAGAGCAACAGCAAAAAAATTACAGAATTACAGAACTAAAGGAAAAGACATGTAACATATCAGAAACACACCTCTGGGGCTCTATCATGCTAAGTACCAAATGCTCTATGTGACAGAGCCACAAGGAAGTCACTTCATCTAGTGGAACCACTGTTTTTCATCCACTACAATAAAAACACATTTGCCTCCTCTACATTCTGGTCCTTTTCCAAACAAAGTAAATCATTTTCACCTCTATTTCCATGCCATTCCATCCCCAAGATTATCAAGCAATAAGTCTATCAGGCTTAGTCTGGCTAATATAACATTAACATTTTAAAACAGAGAAACCTTCAGCAGAGGGAATTATACTCAAAATCTTGTAATACCCTGTAATGGAAAATAATCTAAAAAAGAATCATACATACATCTGTATAACTGAATCACCTTACTGTACATATGAAACTAACACAGCAGTATAAATCAACTATATTTTAATAATTTTAAAAAAATAGCAATCTTTTCAAAAATAAAGCAATGTCTTTCCCTCCTCCTTTACAAATTGCCAAATGTCTGAAATTTCCCCGATTTGTTAAAGATAATCATACTAACCAAATTGCCTGGTTGCTTTCAATGGAGCATCAATTATTTCGCTGTAAGACCCGAGCTATTGTGTGACTTAAAACCCATGCCTCCTGGATGAATCCAAGAAGAGTGACAAAGAATCTTGCAAAAGGTATTGAACAAAGAAAGAGGCATTCAGTGGCCCAGCAGTCAGGCATATGTGCCCCATTGTCCAGGATCGGGCCTGAGTAGCAGGCCCCTCAGTGAGAAGGTGGCTCTTGAAACTGGTAAGAAAGACTGCCAGGCAGGAGCTCTCAGCTTGCACCCTGACTCTTAACAATATAATCCAGGCTTGTGCACCTACTTGATAAATGGAAGCACTGCTTGCTTCTCTCCTGAGCTTGCTGGGGCCCTCCTGAATGTTTTTCTTGACTCTTTACCAAAAATGCAATTGGCAGCCGGCTCCCAGTAGACAATGTAATGTGACTTGTTCATTCAAACAACCCTTAATTAGCATCCCATCTCCTTTCTGAGATACAATAGCTTATTTTTATACACTGAATACATTTTCCCCCTCTTTAAGGAGGATGTAGAAAAAGGGACCAGATAAGTGTGGGTGCTTTTGAGTATGAGGTGAGAGAGAGCTGCAAATGTGGTTGTTTCTAAGGGCATCAGTTCACATTTGAATTATTTTTGTGAGCAGCTTTTTCGGGTTTTTTCATTGTGGTGTTAACAATGATATGAAAAAGGAAAATGCAAGGAAGGAAAATGCTTTCTTAAAGATAATATTGTGAAATCACACTAATTGTGGGTAATTCAAAATAGCACGCTATGTAGCAGAATATAACCCCAAATCATCACTATTCTGTTAGCTGGGCCGATTCTTTCAGTAAAATTATCTATTAATTCCAAGAATTCATAATTTGGAGGACAAAGAGGTTTCCAGAAGGTTATGTGTCTCTTGTACAAACAAGTAATTAGTGAACCTTGACTGTAAAGATCCTGGACATCAACCAATTTTTCATCATCAGTGGTTTACAGCAAAAATAGAATGCAAAGTAATGCAAACCCATGTTTTTATAATCTATTTTTTTTTCTTTGATCATCCCTCTCACTCTCACCACATTAGGGTTATTTGTGTATAAAAAAGAAGCAAGTCTAGCCAGTGTATTAGTTGCCTGAAAACAAAATCTATTTTTCAGTCACTTTCTTTTTAAATTCTATGCATTTAAAATCAAAGAGATTTTTGCTTTATGAGCTAAAGATGTATCATCACATAGGAAGGGGCTCTAAATAAACAAAGAGACACTTAGTTGCAGTTGGGTTATATTTGCATAAAAGAGAATGGATCAGATTGTCTAAAATTATTATGGTTTTAGTTACTCTAATTCTTAGTATTCCACTGAATATTATGAACATAGATGCAACAATTTAATATTAAAAGCATCTTCACCAAAATATATCATTGAATCCCTTCCATGATCATTTATGTTAAGTAGAACAGAGAGTAGATATTGTTATTGTTATTATTATTTTTTTTTATAATTTTACAGCTAAGAATACTGAAGCTCAGGTGTTTTGGTAGGGGTCTCCGAGAACATCCTCTTAGAGCCAAAACCTTTTGAACAAATATCACTTTATAAACTCAAGCTTTTATGTTTGAATTTCTGCTCCAATAACCAACTCTTTCTATAACATTAACCAATACTCTTCCTTCCCTCTGTGAAATATGCTGATAATGGAACACTGAATGCCCTCCATCCACTCTCTTACTAAGTCCAGTACTTCTGTCACTGTCTGCTGAGCTGTATGCTAGTAAGTGGTGTTTGTATCCAAACCTCTTAAGGACAGCTGCATTCATTTAATGAAACTTTACATAAATTCATGAAACATAAGGGTAAGAAGAAAAAAAGAATTATTCCATGAAACAATTGTGTGAGTTAATTAGGTTTTCATGCGGGGCGGGGAAATGAATCAGTAAAGACAACTGTATGCAAATCAGGTACAAACAAGACTTATGAAAGGGCAAAGTTGGAAATATAGACAGAATTCTGCATTCATATGGTTTTATAAACTTTTCTATGTTCTCTCATTTTAAAGAAACTGAAATGGGACATTTTAATGATATATAAAGGGCAGGAATTACACAAACTACATCACCTGGAGCCAATATTAAAAATAATAAAAGACTGTCTCATAATAAAATAATGAACAAGTCTGAATAGGAACAACTGTACCTGTTTTAGGACAAAATAAAAGAGCTTTTTGCTGTGTTTGAGTCTCCACTCTTGACGATTTTGGATTATATGTGTCAAATAAGAGGGCTTCTAACTATAGCTAGAATAAAGCAAGTTACAGCAACTGAATGGAGAAGAGCTGAATTAAAAATTAGGGTGCCAAATTATATCTGGAATGGAAGCATGTTTGAAAGAACAGTGAGTAATTTTTCTTAGGGACTGTCAGCCTCAGAATTCCTGGCCACTCTCAATTGCTTGTGCAGCATAACTGTCCAGCCCCCGGTCATTCAGGAAATGAGCTGAGGCTGCTGGGCAGTGCTGGGCAGTGTTGGGTCAGGCTGCTTCTCTAGAAACCAAATATCTAATTCTGATCCTCCAGAACAGCTGAATACCAG